GTAGTTGATGAGTGGAACAATCTACCTAGTTGGGTTATTGAGGCTAGGACTTTGGGTAGTTTCAAATTTAGGTTGGATAAGTACATGAGTGGGAGGGGATGGATTTGAGTGGGACTTGCACATCAGAGCTTATTTCTTGGGTGGCATTGAAAATTGGGTTGGGCAAATTTTGTTAGTGGGATGAATTGTAAAGGACCTGCCTAGTATGGGCCAACAGGCCTCCTGCAGTGTTCCTCCTTTCTTATGTTCTTATGTTCTTAACAGTCTTTGGTGCGGAACTCTATCAAAAGCCTTACTAAAATCTAAGTAAATAATATCAAATTCTTTATCGTGGTCTACAGTCTCCAAAGCTTTACTGAAGAAAGTTAATGAATTAGTTAGACAAGACCGGCCTCTTGTGAATCCATGCTGAGTATCATTAATCAACCTATGCTTATCGAGATGGCTTCTTATAATCTCAGCTATAATTGACTCTAATAATTTGCCTACAATTGAGGTCAGGCTTATTGGGCGGTAATTTGACGGTAAAGACTTGTCCCCTGTTTTAAAAATAGGAATTACATTAGCCATCTTCCACATATCAGACACTACACCTGTTTGAAGAGATAAATTAAAAATATTAGTTAATGGTTCACAGAGTTCCATTTTGCATTCCCTTGAAAAAACCTCATCAGGACCCGGTGACTTATTTTGCTTCAGTCGGTCTATCTGCTTCACAACCATTTCACTAGTGACTGTGATGTTACATAATTTATCTTCTTCTAGCCCACTATAAAAATTAATTACTGGAATATTATTAGTGTCTTCCTGTGTAAAAACCGAGAGAAAATAATTATTTAAAATCGAGCACATTTCATTCTCTTTGTCAGTAAGATGCCCATAGTTATTCTTAAGGGGACCTATCTTATCTCTGACTTTTGTTCTATATACCTGGAAAAACTTTTTGGGTTAGTTTTAGAATCCCTAGCAACTTTAATTTCATAGTCCCTTTTTGCTTTTCTTATCCCCTTTCTAATGTCCCTCTTAATGTCAATATACTGATTCATAAGATGACACTCACCTCTTTTGATACGCCTATAAATTCCTTTCTTATGCCCTAGTAGATATTTCAGCCTATTATTCATCCATTTTGGGTCATTTCTATTTGATCTAATTTCTTTATACGGGATAAATGTTCTTTGAGCCTCATGTATAGTGTTCAGAAAGCTGTCATATTGATAGCTCTCTTCGTTACCCCAGTCAACAGATGATAAGTGTTCTCTAAGCCCATCGTAATCTGCTAGGCGAAAATCTGGAACTGTTACTGAGTTATCCCTACTATTATACTTCCATTCAATGCTAAATGTAATTGATTTGTGGTCGCTAGCACCCAGTTCCTCTGAAAATTCTAAATTATTAACAAGGGATTCATTGTTTGCCAGAACTAAGTCAAGCAGGTTATTACCCCTTGTAGGTTCTGTCACAAACTGCTTCAAAAAACAATCCTGAACTACTTCTAAGAAGTCGTATGATTCTAAATTCCCAGTCAAGAAATTCCAATCAATATGACTATAGTTAAAGTCTCCTAGAATTACTACATTATCGTGCCTTGTGGCCCTAACAATTTCCTCCCATAGTAGTCTCCCTTGGTCCCTATCTAAGTATGGGGGACGGTATATCACACCTAAAATTAATTTTTCATGCCCCTCTGAAAATTCTATCCAAACAGACTCTGTATGTGTTGCTTCAGACTTAATACCCGTTTTTATGCAACAGTTCAAGCGATCTCAGACATACAATGCCACCCCACCCCCCTTCCCGACACTTCTATCTACTTGGAACAATTTAAAACCCTGAATGTGACATTCCGCAGGCATGTCCCGACTTTTTTAATTAAACCACGTCTCAGTTAAGGCAAATACATCAATGTTACCTGCACTAGCAACTAGTCTCAACTCGTCCATCTTATTCCTAGCACTGCGACTATTTGTGTAATATATATTTAAAGACCCTCCTCTCTCTTTACCCTTCCTGCTCCTTTCTGTTATTCCACTATTACTGTCCTTGTCAATTAGTGCCACTGGCTTTCCAATATCCACCTCATTTTGCCTATTACTAGTTCTCCTAGTACTCATATTACTGCACTGTGACTTGACTGTTTTCCCGCCAAAACCCATACCACTAACTATTCCTAGTTTAAAGACCTAACAGCTCCCTCCAATGCGTTGGCCAGTGCTCCCACCCCACACCTAGATAAGTGAACCCCATCCCTGGTATACATGTCATTTCTGCCATAGAAGAGGTCCCAGTTGTCAATGAATGTTACCGCATTTTCCTTACAGTATTTGTCCAGCCAGCAATTGACACCAATTGCTCTGGACAACCATTCATTTCCAACTCCTCTCCTTGGCAAAATACCACATATGACAGGGTTCCCCCCCTTCCTCCTAATGATTTCTATTGCTGACCTATACCTGCTAATCAGGTCTTCACTCCTACGTCTGCCAACATCGTTGCCACCAGCACTGAGACAGATAATAGGATTGCTCCCATTACCTCTCATGATGTCATCCAGATGGCTAACAATATCCTCCATCCCAGCCCCAGGAAAGCAAACTCTCTGTCTCCTACTCCTGTCCTTCAAGCAGAACGCCCTATCCATATACCTAACTTGGCTATCCCCAACAACAACAATATTCTTACCTTCCTTGGTGTCGTTCGTCGTGACGTTCCCAGTAGTCGACTCACATTCGTCGGGTAGCACTGAGAATGTATTAGATGTTTCCACAAAAGTTTCCACGGCAGTCTGTTTCTTCTTCATCGTTTCTACCTTTCCACTCGTCTTCTTGATCGTCAACTTCGTTCCCTGCTGTCACGCCACTGACCAGTTTCCTTTCTTGACCTGAGGACTCAAAACAGGAGGACTACTACGAATCTTCTTGTTTTTCTCGGTCAGTCGCCGAATCTCCATCTTCGCCATCCTCAATTCTTCCTTAAGCTGTTGGTAAAGTTGCTCGATGGAGGGCATCTTGCTTCAATTCGTAGAGAGCGCGCAAACAGGTCTTCACAGAGCTAAGTACACGTCACCACTGTGCTAAGTACACGTCACCACTGATGCAGTGGTCGGAGAAGTGGCAGATGAAGTTTAATATAGACAAATGCAAAACTCTAAACATTGGACAGGAAAATATTCATGCCACAGATTAACTACATAATGAAGATCTTAATATTGCTGTTTGCGAAAATGATTTGGGAGTTCTGGTTAGTAGTAATCTAAAACCAAGACAGCAGTGCATAAGTGTTCACAATAAAGCTAACAGAATTCTTGGCTTCATATCAAGAAGCATAAATAATAGAAGTCCCCAGATTGTTCTTCAACTCTACATATCCTGGTTAGGCCTCATTTAGATTATGCTGCACAGTTTTGGTCACCGTATTACAGAATGAATATAATGATTTGGAAAACGTACAGAGGAGGATGACAAAGTTGATCCCATGTATCAGAAATCTTTCGTTTCTCTAGAAAGGCGTAGAATTAGGGAAAATATGATTGAGGTGTATAAATGGAAGACAGGAATAAATAAAGAGGGTGTAAATAGCGTTCTAAAAATATCTAGCCTAGCCAGGACACGCAGCAAGGGTTTTAAGCTGGAAAAATTCAGATTCAGGAAGGAAATTGGAAATCACTGGTTTGGTAATAGAGTTGTGGATGAATGGAATAAACTCCCGGGAACCGTCATAGAAGCTAAAACGTTGTGTAGTTATAAAAATAGGTTAGATAAATACATGAGTGGGTGTCGGTGGGTGGGAGTTGGACCTGACTAGCTTGTGCTTATAGGTCAGATGCCGTGCTCCTTCCTTAAGTGAATGTGACCTGACCTGATTAGGTTGGGGCATTGGCTTGGGCCGGTGGGGGACGTGGACATGCCTCGCATGGGTTAGTAAGCCTGCTGCAGTGTTCCTTCTTTCTTATGTTCTTGTGTACCTGTGCACGCACCTGGTACATACAGTACCTGTGTACGCACCTGGTTTCATACTAGTAATTGTGTACGCAACCTGGTCATAATTGTCGCACTTCATACAGTCACCTGTGTAGCGCACCTGGTACATACAGTACCTGTGTACGCACCTGGTACATACAGTACCTGTGTGCGCACCTGGTACATACAGTACCTGTGTACGCACCTGGTACATACAGTACCTGTATATGCACCTGATACATACAGTACCTGTATACGCACCTGGTACATACAGTACCTGTGTACGCACCTGGTACATACATTACCTGTGTACGCACCTGGCACATACAGTACCTGTATACGCACCTGGTACATACAGTACCTGTATACACACCTGGTACATACAGTACCTGTGTACGCACCTGATGCATACAGTACCTGTGTACGCACCTGGTACATACAGTACCTGTGTACGCACCTGGTACATACAGTACCTGTGTATGCAGCTGGTAGATACAGTACCTGTGTACGCACCTGGTACATACAGTACCTGTGTACGCACCTGGTACATACAGTACCTGTGTACGCACCTGGTACATACAGTACCTGTGTACGCACAGGTGCTGTAGGTCCTACTGTCTAATGTGACAGTAGGACCTAAGATATTTTCAACTGTTTTTTTCTTGTTTGCAGAAATACAGTTGTGAATAAATTTGTTTTGTTGTATTGAAGTGCTAAACACGTGTGGGCCATTCAGTGCAATGAACAGGTGAAGGCTCGATCCTCAGTCTGGTCTATGACTAGTCATAGCGTTCAAAGAATGTCACTCTGTGGTCAGTCAGGATGTTCTGAGTGTCAAGTTGAAGGAATAGCAGTAGATGGTGTTAAAGATAAGAATCTCTCTCTCTCTCTCTCTCTCTCTCTCTCTCTCTCTCTCTCTCTCTCTCTCTCTCTCTCTCTCTCTCTCTCTCTCTCTCTCTCTCTCTCTCTCTCTCTCTCTCTCTCTCTCTCTCTCTCTCCCTCCCCACGGTATTCACCATAACATCTCTCTTCACAGTACCTTCTTCAGCTCCTGGTGCTGTGAGATGCGCGCCCATGACCGCCCACAGCGTCCTGGTCTCCTGGGACATCCTGACGCCCACCCACGCCCGTGGACACCTCATAGGCTACCGCGTCCTCTACGCCCCTGCTGACAGAGGTAAGAAGTAAGCAGGGGCGAGAGATATCTCCTGAGATAGCTTAATTTTACATATCTTAGTGGTTTTCGGTCAGAGGAACAAGGCTTATTCTCTCTTTCCTTGGATCGAACCTGAATGCCTCCCATTCCCGAAGCGCCATGTGACACCTAAGGGGTTAGCGCTTACCCTTCATTAAGATAAGTAAAATAAAGGTAATAATGGTAGTGGGTAGTGATAATCTGAGCTGGGGGAATTATTAGGTATCCCCAGAGGGATATATTTAAGTAATTGGTTAGCTGAGATTTTCGGGTATTTTTTTCTTCCAAGTTTTCGTTTATAACTAGAGAACGCCTCTTCCGATCTGCTTCAGATTTTCAACGCTGGTTTACTGTAGGTAATGTAGGAATTGGCATATGCAAGTAACTTCTAGTCAGTGTTATTGACCCTTTCAAGCTACTTGGAACCACTATAAAATGGCTTCAAACATTGAGCATTGCATCATATAGACAACTACTGAGGCGTGTGTGTGTACACATTTACCAATCTATTTTGTATTAAATGTGAAAGCATTTTTCACGTTAAATCATGTTAGATATACTTAAGCGAAAATCTCTTGAACTGCTTCAGTCATTAAAGACTGGTGCTTCTCACCTACAAGATAGTACCAGTGTTCTCTGTGTAGCTACAAATTTGACAATTACTGTCTTGATTAATGAACTATGAATCGTTGGATTACGAGCAAAAACTAAAGAAAGTCTTATTTTGGCCAACTCCAAAATATCAGTGATGATGAGCAGCAGTAAAAGAAAGAGTCGAATTCACCTTCAGATGTTTAAATTTCCCTATGCCAGTTTTAATATGCAAATTGGTTTCCATAAAATTTCTGGAAAATACCTCTTTTGATCGACTTCAAACCCGAAAGGTTGGTGTTACTTAGTTTGAACAGCGTTTGGAGTGACTTTGGACTGTGTAGTATATGCTTCCAGCGATAATTTGAGAATGCATTATCTAATCTGCTTCAAACCTTCAACACAAATTTTTGCTTACATGAAGCTTTGGACTGTTATTGGACTCAGTTGAAGGCAATTTGAAAAATCCTGCTCATTTTTTAGACAGAACCAAAAATAATACAAGACGGTTATTCACATCAACTTCTTCCCAGATGAATGGTTCAGAGAACCGACATGTTGATAAATTAGACACATGTGCAACTCTTGGGTATCTTTATTGAGGAAACGTTTCGCCACACAGTGGCTTCATCAGTCCATACAAAGGAGAATCTTGAAGAACAGGAGGAGAATGAGGTAATCAGTCCCTCAACCTTGAGTCGATGTGGTCAGTCCATCAGTCGGTTCTCTGAACCATTCATCTACAAACCTGTCAGACACTGCAACTTCTTGGGATCTTAATACTTGGGAATTCTTCGCTTGCCTAATTCTTGGGCACGACCTACTTCAACATTGAACAAATGTTACACGACCTATGACTTCTGCACCTCTCCTGCCAACGGTTTATAAGCTCCTTCTCAGCACGTATGCTGTACTCTATTCAAGATTGATGGACTGACCACATCGACTCAAGGTTGAGGGACTGATTACCTCATTCTCCTCCTGTTCTTCAAGATTCTCCTTTGTATGGACTGATGAAGCCACTGTGTGGCGAAACGTTTCCTCAATAAAGATACCCAAGAGTTGCACATGTGTCTAATTTATCAACTTCTTCCCATAAATCAAGTACCTCACAACCAGAAATTTTTTACCTCCTTTCCGAACATAATATCTTGCTGGGCGCCTAAGACTTCGATGAGAGGCCGGCAGAGACCAGTCCAATCTTAGCAGAAAATGAGGTGGTCCCATTACGAAATTTTTACATTGCTGTTGTGGAAAAACAATCATAGTTTACAAAGTCTATCTAGACAACAGTGTGCAACATACTCCGCCAGATCTGAAGCTTTTAAAATGCTGTTGGTATACAGTGCTGACAAGTACAGGAGAGCACCATATATACAGCGCCTATAATGTTTCACGTTTTCGTCATCTTTCACTTGAGTCATTGTTCGACCCGCCGGTGACTATCGCCGGTGGGTGGAACACAGTGAACAATGAACAATGAACAATGAACAATGGCTCAGTTTGCAACCAGCGAAAACGTGGAACACCGAAAAGAATGTGCCGCATATGTGCGACCATCCTGTATGTGAATAAGACACAGCTACGTATTTTTATTATGAAAATGTCTCGCCTTCTCTGCAGACTTCTGAGTCGAATATAGAGTTGATAAGTGGAGACAGTTATCAAGACAGATGATGATCCATTGGCCCTTTGATCCTCCTGGATACATACATCCAAAACGCCTTCATTGAAAATCAGTCATCATTGCAGTCTATTTCGGTCTCGAAAAAAGCTTTAGACACTACATTACAGCAGCAATGGAGAGGTAAAAATAAGGTGGTCAGTCCCTTATTATTGAAGTACTTGTTTTTAGGTGGTCAGTCCCTCATTACTGAAGTACTTGTTTTGAGGTGGTCAGTCCCTCATTCTAGAAGTAGTTGTTTGAAGACCGGACAAAGTCGGACCAAAACATCGTCATAAGTCTCATTCTCCTATGTGCGGGTTATTTATCTATTGTTCCAGTCACTATATTGTGACTTTTTATTCTCATTATACAAGTAATGAGATGAGTCGATGAGAACATCTCTCCTCACTTCTGTGAATCTCACTCACGCTCACTTAACTCGTATCTTTAGTGAGAATCAAAAATATGGGGTAAGTGAATATTATATTTCGCTCGATTGCAGTTTATTGTTAATTATTACAACAATATTCTTGGTCAAAAAGAAAACGATCTGATGCTGAGATAACTGGGAATGATACAAGATTACTGAGACGGGAATACAATTAGTCGACGAAACTGAATATATAAGCGTACAGAATAGAGTCCTTAGATCCCTGGTAGAGGACGAATCAGGCTTCTAGACACAGGTTCCGGGACCTCACCACGTCCTCTCACAGTGCCCTCTAGCTCTGCAGCCGGAGGGATCCTTCCCTAAAGTCCTCTCTTAGCTACTTCCCTTGAGCTCATAAAGGTCTCCACTCACGCCCCATAACTTCTAATTAGAGGTCAGCTCCCATGAGAAACTTCATCACGGGGTGTGGAGCTTCCTGAGTGTGAGGATTGCAAGCTAACATTCCTGTCTTCACCAACTGGATAGAAGCGCAAGATCCAGCCAGAGTTGATCTCCCTTGAGGTAATAAAGGCCTCCAGTGGGAATATTTTTCCTCACAATCCCTATAAAGAATCATGGTGTGATGGATTAGCAGATAGAAAATAGACACCTGGTCTTAAATCTGTTCTTTTGTTTCTCACAGACATGATATTGTAGTGGTATTTTCAAGATATCACATGCTAGATAACCTTTAATGTTATGGATCACCTTTATACAGCCTTTACATTTTCTGGATAACCTTCATTTATCCTGGATTAAATGACCATATCCTCGATAACTTTAATTACTTAAAATATACTGGATAAATTTTACATACCCTCGATAACCTTAGCATATACTGGACAACTTTCACATTTCCTGCATAACCTTCACATATCCTGGATAATCTTAACGTATAGATTACTTAGTGGCAGACATATTCACAAGTTGCTGCAATAGTCAAGCACCGCACGCACGCACACACACACACACACACACACACACACACACACACACACACACACACACACACACACACACACACACACACACACACACACACACACACACACACACACACACACGCACGCACACACATGTTAGGAAGTATTTCTTCAGCCACAGAGTAGTCAGGAAGTGGAAGAGTTTGGGAAGCGATGTAGTGGAGGCAGGATCTATACATGGCTTTAAGCAGAGGTATGATGAAGCTCAGGGATCAGGGAGAGTGACCTAGTAGCGACCTGTGAAGAGGCGGGGCCATGAGCTTGAACTCGACCCCTGCAACCTCAACTAGGTGAGTACAACTAGGTGAGTACACACACACACACACACACACACAAACACACACAAACACACACACACACACACACACACACCAGGCACATCTCCTGAAGCGCACATCAACCAAATAACTGCTGCAGCATATGGGCGCCTAGCAAACCTCAGAACAGCATTCCGACATCTTAATAAGGAATCGTTCAGGACCCTGTACACCGTATACGTTAGGCCCATATTGGAGTATGCGGCACCAGTTTGGAACCCACACCTAGCCAAGCACGTAAAGAAACTAGAGAAAGTGCAAAGGTTTGCAACAAGACTAGTCCCAGAGCTAAGAGGTATGTCCTACGAGGAGAGGTTAAGGGAAATCAACCTGACGACACTGGAGGACAGGAGAGATAGGGGGGACATGATAACGACATACAAAATACTGAGAGGAATTGACAAGGTGGACAAAAACAGGATGTTCCAGAGATTGGACACAGTAACAAGGGGACACAGTTGGAAGCTAAAGACACAGATGAATCACAGGGATGTTAGGAAGTATTTCTTCAGCCACAGAGTAGTCAGTAAGTGGAATAGTTTGGGAAGCGATGTAGTGGAGGCAGGATCCATACATAGCTTTAAGCAGAGGTACGATAAAGCTCACGGCTCAGGGAGAGTGACCTAGTAGCGATCAGTGAAGAGGCGGGGCCAGGAGCTCGGACTCGACCCCCGCAACCTCAACTAGGTGAGTACAACAACTAGGTGAGTACACACACACACACACACGCACACACACATACACACACATACACACACACACACACACACACACACACACACACACACACACACACACACACACACACACGCGCACACACATACACACACACACACACACACACACACACACACACACACACACACACACACACACACACACACAGTGCACACAACCGAGGAAGAAGTGAAGAGGCTTCTGAGTGAGCTACATACCTCAAAGGCAATGGGGCCAGATAACATCTCCCCATGGGTATTGAGAGAGGGAGCAGAGGCGCTATGTGTACCCCTAACAACAATATTCAATACATCTATCGAAACAGGGAGATTGCCTGAGGCATGGAAGACTGCAAATGTAGTCCCAATCTTTAAAAAAAGAGACAGACATGAAGCATTAAACTACAGACCAGTGTCACTGACATGTATAGTATGCAAAATCGTGAAGAAGATTATCAGGAGAAGAGTGGTGGAACACCTAGAAAGGAATGATCTCGTTAACAGCAGCCAACATGGTTTCAGGGAGGGAAATCCTGTGTCACAAACCTACTGGAGTTCTATGACATGGTGACAGCAGTAAGACAAGAGAGAGAGGGGTGGGTGGATTGCATATTCTTGGACTGCAAGAAGGCGTTTGACACAGTTCCACACAAGAGATTGGTGCAAAAACTGGAAGACCAAGCAGGGATAACAGGGAAGGCACTACAATGGATCAGGGAATACTTGTCAGGAAGACAGCAGCGAGTCATGGTACGTGGCGAGGTGTCAGAGTGGGCACCTGTGACCAGCGGGGTCCCACAGGGGTCAGTCCTAGGACCAGTGCTGTTTCTGGTATTTGTGAACGACATGACGGAAGGAATAGTCTCTGAGGTGTCCCTGTTTGCAGATGACGTGAAGTTGATGAGAAGAATTCACTCGATCGAAGACCAGGCAGAACTACAAAGGGATCTGGATAGGCTGCAGACCTGGTCCAGCAATTGGCTCCTGGAGTTCAATCCCACCAAGTGCAAAGTCATGAAGATTGGGGAAGGGCAAAGAAGACCGCAGACGGAGTACAGTCTAGGGGGCTAGAGACTACAAACCTCACTCAAGGAAAAAGATCTTGGGGTGAGTATAACACCAGGCACATCTCCTGAAGCGCACATCAACCAAATAACTGCTGCAGCATATGGGCGCCTAGCAAACCTCAGAACAGCATTCCGACATCTTAATAAGGAATCGTTCAGGACCCTGTACACCGTGTACGTTAGGCCCATATTGGAGTATGCGGCACCAGTTTGGAACCCACACCTAGCCAAGCACGTAAAGAAACTAGAGAAAGTGCAAAGGTTTGCAACAAGACTAGTCCCAGAGCTAAGAGGTATGTCCTATGAGGAGAGGTTAAGGGAAATCAACCTGACGACACTGGAGGACAGGAGAGATAGGGGGGACATGATAACGACATACAAAATACTGAGAGGAATTGACAAGGTGGACAAAGACAGGATGTTCCAGAGATTGGACACAGTAACAAAGGGACACAGTTGGAAGCTGAAGACACAGATGAATCACAGGGATGTTAGGAAGTATTTCTTCAGCCACAGAGTAGTCAGTAAGTGGAATAGTTTGGGAAGCGATGTAGTGGAGGCAGGATCCATACATAGCTTTAAGCAGAGGTATGATAAAGCTCACGGCTCAGGGAGAGTGACCTAGTAGCGATCAGTGAAGAGGCGGGGCCAGGAGCTCGGACTCGACCCCCGCAACCTCAACTAGGTGAGTACAACTAGGTGAGTACACACACTCATACACATACCTACGGATAGCGTTCCGATACCTCAGTAAGGATTCGTTCAAGACTCTGTATACCATTTACGTCAGGCCCATACTGGAGTATGCAACACCAGTTTGGAATCCACACCTGGTCAAGTACGTCAAGAAATTAGAGAAAGTGCAAAGGTTTGCAACAAAACTAGTCCCAGAGCTATGGGGATTGTCCTACGAAGAAAGGTTGAGGGAAATCGGCCTGACGACACTGGAGGACAGGAGGGTCAGGGGAGACATGATAACGACATATAAAATACTGCGCGGAATAGACAAGGTGGACAAAGACGGGATGTTCCAGAGATGGGACAGACACAAGAGGTCACAATTGGAAGTTCAAGACTCAGATAAATCAAAGGGATGTTAAGAAGTATTTCTTCAGTCATAGAGTAGTCAGGCCGTGGAATAGCCTAGAAAGTGACGTAGTGGAGGCGGGAACCATACATAGTTTTAAGGCGAGGTATGATAAAGCTCATGGGGCAGGGAGAGAGAGGACCTAGTAGCAATCACTGAAGAGGCGGGGCCAGGAGCTATGAATCGACCTCTGCAACCACAAATAGGTGAGCACACACACACACACACACACACACATACAAACACACACACACACACACACACACACACACACACACACACACACACACACACACACACACACACACACACACACACACACACACACACACACACAGGTGAAATTTTCTAACTGATATCTTGTTAGTCATTTAATAAAGTCTGGTGAAGGCTCGATCATCCGTCCACTAATGACGTGACCCTCACTTGTACTACTTGTTTTCTAACTCCAGCTCGCTTGAACGAAATCTATATGAAGTTCCTGTAGCTGAAGAACCCTTGCTGGAATGTTTGGTGGTATCCTCACTGCCCTACTGAAGTCTCCCGGCTTGGGCTGACACAAAAGTGTCAGTCTAAGCTCAAATTAGGCTGACACTGCTGAAGTCTCTCAGTTCGGGCTACCAGATTTCAATGCCCTATATGACAAAGGAAAACATAGGTCTTGTTCCCATTGCAACTTGTGCGGCAACGTTTTGCTCTTCAGGAGCTTTATCAATCCGGCTTGATAAAGGTCCTGGAGAGCGAAAAGTTGCCTCAATAAACTGTCACATTAGTTGCATTTGTGTCCTTTTACTTAACATATTGTAGGTGATTCTACCAATATTAATACAACATCCTTTGAGTTGGAATATGTTCCACTGTGTGACTATTATATAGAATCGGGTAACAGTGCATTTATGATGTATCCAGTTTTGTTTAATAGAAAAAAAGCACCTGGCTTAAGCTGATGTCCATCACCTCGTGTTTCAGTCAATGAGCTGAGTGGGGAGACGACATCTTCAGCAAGCGTGACACTGCGGGGCCTGCGCCCCTACACTAACTACTCCCTGCAAGTGGTGGGCTTCACCAGGGTAGGTGAAGGACCCGCAAGTGATCCTGTCTACTGTACTACAGAGGAAGATGGTGAGTACTCGACCCTGTCTGAGCACACGACCCTACCCGAACACCCATCCAAACCCGACTGCCTTACTGTGTACCCCAACCTAATGTGTGTCTATGGCATCGTATAAATAGGCCTAACTTTAATTCATTTACGTACGTGAGGCCTTAGCAATGAACCCAAATTTGTTCTAGTCGGTAGTAAAAGGTGTGAGTGCTGTCACTAGATTTGTACGTGGACTAATTAGGAGCTGAGTAGACATGGCCAGCATGTAGAGTGGCCAGGAGGTGAGAGTAGACACCGTCAGTTTGTAGATACGAGAATGGAAAGATGCAGTGAGACAAGAGGATAAATAATGAATGAGTGTTAGTAGGAACTAAGAGGAGAGTAATGATAATGGTATCGATGGCGGTGGCAACTATGGTGATAGTGACGGTGGCAGTGATTGTGGTAGTGATGGGATGGTAGTAATGGTGGTAATGGGGTAGTTGTAGTGGGTAAGGTTTGTCAGGAAACAGGACAAGTGTTTCCTGACGCGGGTCTTAGTCAGATGATGACCCGCCGTTGGAGGTTTTGAACATTTGACTGAGGCGTTCCGCTGGTTTACCGGTCCTCCCCTTTAAATATTATGGTCAGTTATAACCATTATTAATTATTAATTTGTGGTGGTGATAGCAATTTTGCTCTTAATTGATATAGTGGTAATGACGGAGGAAAATAGTAGTAGCAATAGCAATTATTAATTAATAACAAAACAAACAGCAATAACGGTATTATGACAAATATCATGAAAATAATCTTCACAATAACACTAGCAGTATCATTGCCTAATTATTGCTTGCTGGTGCCTGCCACACAGTGCCAGGGCCACCAGCAGGGGTGAAGGCAGCACTCTCGCGACCAGAGAGGGTGGTCGTCTCCTGGCTTCCACCTACCAACAGCAACGGTCGTCTGCTCACCTATACCATAACTATCAGGGGTAGGGAAGTCAAGGTGAGTCCCCTCCTTACCACACCATTGGCATATATTACTATATATGTGAAGGCTAAACCCGTATGGGTCAACGCAAGGAGTGGTGGGGGCTCGACCCTCTTTCTTCTAATGGCTCCTAGTAGTTATATTCCTGATCTGTAGACGGTAAGTTTTAAGTTATTTCATGATGAAGAAAGTGTTTGTCTGTCATTTGAACTCAGAGTTGCTCTAAAAGGCTTTTTAACAATTGTTAATCTTATCCTGTCTCTGAACAAGATTATAACTTCCCTACCGACTGCTGACCAGAAGACCTCAATCGAAGAACAAAACTCTAGGGCATCGATTGAAAACATCACCAGGATCCCAAACACTTCTCCCATGGTCAAAGTCACCTTCTCAGACATCGAAATGGCTACTAGAGCACCGTCAGATGGCCTAGCCATCTCATACTACCACATCCATCCATGGCAAATACAATCAGAACGTTTCGCCCACGTCTCTCCCTGCTGGAACTATTATTCAAACCTTCATCCAACGACCAACTACCCCATAAGAAATTCTGTTCCAACTGCAGCAAAGAGGAACACGATTTCAAGGCCTGTTCCATCACCAATGCCACTCCTACCTGCCTCAACTGCAAGGGCACTCGCAATACCCTTGCAACCAAACGCCCTCTAGGGAAGGAAGTACTAAGAAACTCAAAGAAGAAGCTAAGAAGAGCAACCCAAAATCGCCAACTTTTGCTGCCATAACCAAACTACAGTCTGAGAAGTGTAGAGATGGCTGACACTCAACAGCCATCTCTACACAACTCCGAATTCTATCCACTCCCAGACTCTACTAAAATTCAGTACTGCATGATGTATGCACAAATGCACAACATGGCTAAACCAGGTTCCTTCAACATCATTATTAACGAACTCTTCCACATGAACAACATGCCAAAGTTCATTTTCCTAGATTCTCCATCTTCTACCGACATCATTAAGTTCACCAAAGGCTTAGCAAATGTCACTACACCTGGAATTCCATCTCAAGCTACAGCTCCACCACCGTCTGCCTCACAAAGGGACGTTATCCACTCAGAGACCACGTGATCCACCAGTAACTACTAACACCACCGCTGTAGACCAGTCAGCGACTTCATCTGACCCACCATTGATCTCCACCGCCTCTACTGCTGAGGACCAATCAGCAACCTCTCCTCAGTCGCACCTATCACATCATCCAACAGACCCGGAAGACCGTCCAACTTACGTCATATGGAATACTTTTACCTTCCACACAACTGCTCAGCATAGTCCCGAGATGACCCCTGGAGAATTAATCACACACCTGGAGGAAAAGAAAGTCAAGTTCACCTGCCGACACGACGTCCCTCAAACGCTCTCTGAAATATTGGACATATTACATGAGGCTGTTGAAGATCCAGAGTATAATACTACAAGGTTGTCCTTGTAGTATCATCTCCAATGAAAGATTCAAAACACTCGTTAATGAGTCAACTATTCCAACATAACTCCACTAAGCATCGCTTAACAGCCACTCAAATCTACAAATCATCACCAAACCACCCCCCTCTCCCCCAGCCTCCCTCGTCCATTTAACCACCAATCAACATCAAGACTAGAAGCAGTACAGCCGGCCTTCAAACCCGCCTCTTTCCCTGCCTTCACAACGCCTCGCTGCTGGGTCTGGCCCTGGCTCTATTTCTACACTTCAAGACATTCCTTTTCACCGACTATTCTTCGCCTGTCCCCCACTTCCCTGGGTCTTACCTGTGAGTCTTCGTCGTCGAATCCTCTCTCTCTCTCTCTCTCTCTCTCCTCTCTCTCTCTCCTCTCTCTCTCTCTCTCTCTCTCTCTCTCTTTTAATTAATACGTGTTTTTTCTAAGAAATTTCTGGCTGAAAAGCATAAAAATTCTCCCCCTAACGCCCATTAACACAAAGGCAACTAGCGTAATAACCCCTTTCCATGAGCCCTTTCCCTTATCTCTCCCCCTTTCACTTCATCTTCTCATTCCCTCTTCCCATTTCCTCTTCCCCTCCGTACACAATTAACCAACACTAACACACACACGATATTTCCTCCTTGCAGAGGGTCAGACGAAAGGACACAAGTGCAAAGGGTATGTTTCGGTCCTGGAACCTTGCTTACTCTAACAGTCTAACTGATCCCAAGACCGATAAGTGTCCATGAAAGATGTGCTTGGTGTGTGCACTTGGGTTATTTCATCCATATTGCCGGCATCAATATAACCTTCTACGTTCTTTCAGAGGTTCGTTGTGAGAGCGCCGACCAGCAAACACGAAGTGAGTGTTGGCAGAGACGCAGGCACAGTGCAGGTGGTAGTGTCAGCCAGCACCAGGATAGGTGAAGGACCCACCTCGTCACCTGTTGTCATCAACCCGGCTGGCACAGGTAGGCACGATGCTCCTGGCTTGTAGCAGCTTGGAGCACAAAATAAGAATTCTAGTCACATCTAGATCACAAACTAGACATTTCGGTCCGCCCTGAGTTGTTATCGGGTTCATTGCTGACCGAAATGTTCATTGGTTTCCATTTCCATTTTGTAGGCACGTTATGAATTGTTCAACCCAATCTATACTTTCTATTTTTTCAACTCTTTACCGTGAATGAGTATATGAGAAGGTTTTACAAGCCTCTGTCACTATCCATAACACCCTTGTGGATGTTGTAACTCGCCCTCGTTCACATTTTCCTGGTCTCCTCCCGTATCACAGTGGCAGCGAGGGTGGTATCCTGGGGCGGGGTGACTGCTGTACACTGGGAGGAGGACCTCAGCCTGCGATGTGAGGCAGTAGGGGAGCCACCGCCCTCCCGTTCCTGGTACAGGGACAACACCCTTATCAACGATGCCTCTCACAGGTAACCACTAGGTTGTGTGTGTTCGTTGCTGAAGTAAGGTTCGGGGATGCTATCTAGTCAACGTTTAGCGCTGTATAATCCTCCGGGTTTAGCGCGTCCCCTTGATTATAATAATAATAATAATAGTCAACGTTTAAGCCCGAAGGACGCATTTCTTTACAACATTTACTAAATTCACGATTCACTAAGACATGGCAGCGCTGCATGACCAGTATGGTTTAGCGCTTAGTTTTCATTGTAATAACAACATTAACAATAACAACAACAAAAACAACAACAACAATAATACTAATATTAATAATAATAATAATAATAATAATAATAGCAAAGGCATGTCTTTTTCTCCTTATATAGACGTCTCGCCCTGGTTAAGTGGAACTCTGAGCTCTGTTAGCAAAATGGCGAAGCTTTTTTCTTTTTTTATCTCATATTAGAGAGTATATGTGCTATAATTGGGAATTCGAAATACACTAGAGAAAATATGTAATGTACTGTTCATATGGTT